GGCCTCCCTTGGACGCTGCTGGCTCTCCTGCTCAGCCTTCTGGGCTGTCGCCTCCCTTTGGCGCAAACTGGTGTTCACTTTGGACATATCCTGTATCCTCTTCTCCTATGCCACTACGGATTTCCTCAGATGCAGACTGCTCGTGAATGCCTACATAACAAAACATTGTCATCAATACAATCATGATGAACAAAATAAAATAAAACTCCTGCCCTACCTGGAAAGCGCAGGATACCCCCTAATCAGCGACCACGATCGCCCCCATCTGGTTCAAACGGGTCTTGTCGACCGGGAATAGGAAGGAGTCAGCCAATTTGCTCATAGAAGCTGCGTTAGAGTAGGTCGACGCACAAGCCGGAATACGGAAGGTGATCTTCTCAGTCTCTTCATCCAAGATCGCTATCTGAGATGACTCTGCTTCGGCAGTGGGTTGACGGCTCGGTGGTATCGCCACTACATCCTCCGCTCTCCTATCCTCTCTGGCTGAGGTTTCCCTTCTCATTTTCTCCCGACGCCGAGTGATGAACTCACTCGCACTGGGGATGGTCAGCTTCTTCATCAGTGTCTCTACAAGCGCAAACTCTTTAACGGTTAGTGGGTTTAGCCGGGACTCACCATAAATGGTATGATTGCAATACCGAGTCAGAAGCACATCCTAAGTCTGCTTCAACGAAGGGAAATGAATACCTCGCGCCTCTACTCCGGCCCAGAGATGGCTGGTCCTGAGGTTGGCCTTCGCCAATACTACTCGTTAATCCCTCTACGCCTTCGAAATGGCTAGTACCTTCTGGGTCTGCACGTCCAAACCATCTCCGCTCTGCCCGGCCCGATTGTACTCAAGCTCTGCAAGAAAAAAACACAATAAGATTTAGTAATCAAAATACAAAGAAAGACAAAGGTTCTCACCAGTGGCTCGCCAACTGCTTGGAATATCGCCCTGGCCTCTCTCCCCAAAGACAGCCTAACCCCGCACAAAGAAGTATCGATCCTTCTAGTTCTTGTCATTGGACCGGAGGCCGGTCACCAGGTGAGACCGATCATGCTTGAGGTTAATCAGATATCAACCCTTCTCTTTGTCGTTCTCCTTTAGAAAATACGAGTACAACAGCTCGTGCAGCCTAAACATCACCTGGTTCAGCACACAAAGATCCTCTAGCGCCATAAGCAACCTCTAACCATTTGACATGATCTACGATAGGGCAATCATGAAGTGGTTCAGCACCTCCCAGACGAGGTGAGGAATAGGCAACCTCAGCCCATCGTGAAACCACTTCTCATAAACACTAACCCAGCCTTTTACCTCCTAATCAACTCGCTCATACGACTATGGTGCCCGGATCTCCACCGAACCTGGAATGTGATACATAGTCTGGATTCGCCAGACGTCACTATCCTTGAGCACGGACGGATAATCCCTAGCCAAGATCCCACTACCCTGTTGGCTTGGCTCCTCCTTAGAGCTACTACTAGACGAGGGTGAACTACCAACACCTTTGGAGTCTTCCCCACTTTCCCCATGCCTGCCTGAACCACTCGGACCAGTAGCACTAGTCCCTGGGACAGCTACACTAACACCGATTGATACATCTGTCGGAAGGAAGCCCTCGGGCATTATCACTATGGTCGGGGCACGTTCATACTCATTCCTAACATCCGCCCCAACCCCGCTCGGATTACTTGATTCTAAATCTGACATCTCAGCCCGTCTGACCTACCCGACCAACTGATTGTTCTTGATAACTTAACCTCCCAAAATCCTAAGCGTCGGACCACCACTTGCCCTGTACATCCGACCGAACAACAAGACAAGAACCCTAGTTATTGCTTACCCTTCAGCACCGACCGACCTATCCCTACTAACCACCTGTCAACTTAAGGGAACCTAGAGCACTGATCGTCCCTCACCACCGACCGACCTATTCCTGTTGGCAGACTCAAAACTTTCGAGACCTTAGGACACTAATCGGCCCTCGCTACTGACCGACCGACCGACCGAGTCGAAGACTCAACACTACTCTCGCTCGTGCTAAGAGACCGACCAACGCTCTAGCTCATCGTTCTCGTGAGTCCACTCACCCTGAGTCACCAACCCACCAATTCAAACACTAAAACTGCCTACTCGGTTTGGATGAACGACCCCTGGTTCAAGTCCACTTCGCACGACCCCCTTTCACTCGGTCGGATGGACCGGATGACCTACCTATCCACTCAACCTAAGTCCAACCTCACTTGATTTGGTCAGGCAGACTGACCGAACCGAATCAAGGCAATACTTAAATCGTTTTGTTTTCTCGGTTCCGTCCAAAACATTCAGAAATACTCAGAAACAAACCAAATCGCCGGAAACCCATTAGAAAATCCCAAAATTCACACCTATTCTAAAAATCTGTAATCTAAACAACTCAAAGCCCACTTGAAATCCCCCGAAACTTCAAAAAATCTCAGCCTCTCTCCCAAAACCTCAGCAAAAACAAGCAAACAAGCAAAACAAACGAAAATTCAGCCTAAGGAAATAATGTTTACTGTAAACGATCCCAGAAACTGTAGAAGGAAAACCACCGCTGCTTAAGAAACTGGAACAAAAAAGAAGAAAAGAAAAGGAAAGGAAAAAAGTTTGCAGAAAATGGAGGAAAAACACAAATGGGAGACGAACAGTCTGCCCCCTCGTTTTTATAAGAAAAATCTAACGGAAGTAGACACTTGGCAGCCCGTGGTTGGCCAAAGGTCAGAGCGACTCTTCATTTTCCTGCCTCCAAAATGAAGAGTTGATCGCCACCATACACGTGGCAGGGATCCACGACACCTAGGAAAACCGCAGCACCGTACGGAAGCTATGCCCAACCGCATCCTCTTCCCAACCGATTCAACATGCGACTACTGAAACAGACCTAACACTCCTGTGTCACGTGTCGAGGAGACTCACGACTGGTCGGCTAGCTTGGAATAGTCTGGCTCGCGTTCCCCCTCGAGATGATCAAGGCAAGAAGCCTCACCCGTTTGGTCTTCCATGGCGGACGAGTGGCAACCAAAGGTCAACCTTCGCACATAGTACTCGACCCTATGGCATTTTATTAAGACAGCCTCGTGGTATCACCCAAGCGTCCGTCATATGGTCGAACAAGCCAGCCAATTCAATCTTCTCCACTCCTTCACCCAAATACACCGACCGAACGCACCTTCATTCCTCTTTTTATTTACTCGACCCGGCATAACGATCGAAACGCCCACGGAGGCATGCTCATTCTTTCACTCGACCGATGCATCGAACGGATACGTGCAACCCTGGAAGTTTCGTTATCAATCTCCTTCACTCGTTCACCCAAGTACACTGACCAAACGCACCTTCATTCCTCTTTATTTACTCAACTTGGCATAACAATCAAAACGCCCGCGGAGGCATGCTCATCCTTCCACTCGGTCGGACGCATCGAATGGATACGTGCAACCCCGGAAGTTCCATTATCAATCTCCTCCACTCGTTCACCCAAGTACATCGACCGAATGCATCTTCATAGCTCTTTATTTACTCAACCCGGCATGACGATCGAAACGCCCGCAGAGGCATGCTCATCCTTCCCTTTGGCCAGACGCACCAAATGGATACATGCACCCCGGAAGTTCCGTTATCATCTCATTCCACTCGATCCCTCACACCGATTGGGTGCACCCTCTTGAATCAGTTGCATACCCTGGCTCGGCAATGGATACCGAATGACCCTTGACCATAAATCATCGGCATCGAATTGGTCAGTTGCGTCGATAATCGGCCATCCGGGAAGGCCGACCAAACACGCCTTGCTCGCTTCCCACTCTCTGACTTAAGAAAACCTTAACTCAGAGAGTGGGGGGCAAACTGTTAGGGCCAAAAATTGTCCTAAGCCTAAATAGGAAAATGGGTCTGACAATGAGGAAAAGGCTGAGCCTAGTCCCGATGTGGCCCAATCCAAAACTCACCGGATTAGGCCAAAATGATACAAGGTACAGTCGGCCCAAACCATCCAGACACAAGCCTTCTAGTCCCAATTCACTTCTTGGATCTATAAACGAATTCAGAGCCCATGGTCATCTACAGATCACATTCCTATGCGAACACTGGTAAAGCAGTCCACTACCACCCCAACTCCCCCAAGGTCCGTGTCAGAGTCATACTTGGACTCCCTTTCACGCCAGGATAAGGGGATCAAAAGATATATCCCTGGAGGAAACAGATCGCTATGAGAACTCCTAATCCCACTAGGATTGGGAGATCAGACAGTCACTATTTAAACAGAGGCCAGCCCTCTCACAAGGCAGATTACACTGTACCTACAGACCCCGGAGTTCTAGCTTGAGAACTTCACATCACAGGCGTAGTCATAGTCCCCGACTAGACTTCTAGTAACTTCTCTATTCTCTAGCCCTCACTAAATCAACCTTTCAACCTTGCTGACTTGAGCATCGGAGTGCCTACGGCAAACACCACCCTGGTGTTTTCCGTTGCTTCATGTGTGTTTCTTTACGTGTGCAGGTACATCAAATCGCTAGTGGCCTCAATCTCACGGGATCAGTCTCCCCTTCCGTACAGGTAGATTTTTACGTCTACAAAATGCATTTATAAAAAATGTGTAATATATATATATATGTGTGTGTGTGTGTGTGTGTGTGTGTGTGTGTGATGAATTTGTAGTCTATAATGTGTTTATTAAATTTAATGTTGTGTGTGTAAGTAATTTTTCATTTTTTTCTAAAAAGGGTGTTTGTGTCATATCATTGTAAATTTAACGATTAATTAACCTTTTTATTAAGTTAAAGGACTAAAACAATAGTATTTTGAAATGAGAAGGACCAAAACTCAAGTGTCTGAAACCATTAATAAATGAAAATTACATTCCAACACAGCATAGCAAATCTTCTTTTAAGATATAAATAATTTGTAGTAGATTGTTTCCGGAATGTTTGAATGTTGGAGTTGCTGAACTCCCTAACTCATTGCAAAAGAGTTCCATTTGAATAGCAAAAACTCAGACTCTCAAGGAGCTAACTTCTGTTACAGATGCAGTGTTGTACATATTTTCTATCCTGTTTTTCAGTAGAGGTACCTTTTGGCTGGATGAATTTGAATTCCACAGGGCATCGTGATGATCGATAGTATTTTCTTCTGTAAGGTTTCCCCACATCACAAAATAAAATCCTGCTACAATTATAACTGCTCCAATCAAACTGCAACAAGTTTTTAATTGGGTTTCAGGAGCAAGATAAGAAGCAGTATGAGTAAAAGGGTACAAGGCAATTGAAATGAAATTGGTCAATTATACCTTCCAAGACAAAGAGGCTCTCCTAGGAAAATGATATCCATGACAACAGAGAAGACAATAGCCAAGGGCTTGAACATCGAGACATGGAGAGGTCCAATACTTGACAGGCACCATGTCACCAAAGAAACTCGAAGCCCAGACCCAATTATCGCCTGCATATTAAAAATAACCGATTCAATCATTATGTTAGCTTTCTAAAATATTGAAACTAAAAAAAAAAAAAAAAAAAAAAAAGGAAGAATTTGGTCTATGCTTACCGAGTATAAGATAGCGACCAGTCCCATATCAAGTCTTAGCTTCCAGGCACTTGTGTCCTTAACAAGAATAAGAGAAAATACTATAGACATGATGGCAGTAAAGAAGGATTGGTAAGACACTATGATTAGCACTGATGGGTACTTTTTGAAAGTTAATGCCTGCCAAAATTTCAGATGTAAAGTCATTAATTATTACCTTTTTTAATTACTTTCGAGCTTTGTTAAAGTGTAGAGGATCGATCTTACCTGTAAAATATACCATCCTGAAATCAGAAAAGCATCAGCTGCTAGGAAAATTCCTCCTAGTATCCAGCTTGAATATTGTGGTGAAAGCAATGGAACAAGTGATAAGACTGAGTGAAGAGAAATTGTCTTTATAACTGGAGGGCCTTTATAAAATGTAACAACAAATGCTCCAGCTATTGACACTAAGGTTCCCAAGCACTTAGCTTGGCTGCTTTTGCTTATCCATTTCACTTTTTCCATCCTAAACCATCCATGTGAAATTAATACTTCAGTTTCACAAAAATATTTTGGAAAGCATATCTATGGCAGTTTAACAGAAATGTGTTAATAGTGGGATTAATTTTCCTACTGTCAGGCACTTAAGACTTTAAATGTGATGAAACTCCCTATCAATTTCACACAAACCCAGCATCACAATAGGTAAACCATGCGGAAAAAGGGGCAATGCAATTCTGGAAATAAATCTGTAATGTATTAATTGAATGTAAATGACAATCGTAATAACAAATATCAACAAGTGTAAAGTAACAGATAGTCCTAACAATTCGAGAAGTTAGGAGCCTCCCTTAATGACTATTAATAATCTGCCTACCTTTCCCTAAATTCACAGCCCTTTTTATACTAATTCCTTAGATGAATTATTCCTTCCACTAACCACTTGATTCTTCACACGCGAATAACACATAATCAACCCCTACTAACACACAATGCACATATTGATACACATTCTTCATGGGAGATCTATCAATCCCTCCCCCTCCCCCCAACCTACCCCACCCCACCCCACCGAAGAACCACCTTATCCTCAAGGTGGAATTGAGGGAACTATAGCTTGATTGTGTCGCACACCTCCCAGGTAGCTTCAAAAGGGGCTAGGTCTCTCCATTTAATAAGGACTTCTTGAGAGCCATCCACTAACGCGTAGATTGCCATCACTGATTTTGGTTGCACTAGAAGCTCTATGTCCTCAATGAGAAAAGATAGGAGAGGTTGGATGGGAACTGAGCTGTGCAGGTTACGTTTAAGCTGAGATATGAAAAAGACGGGATGAATTTTAGCTGTTAGCGGTAGCTCCAATTTGTAGGCAACTTGTCCAATCTTCTTTAAAATGGTAAAAGGTCCAAAAAAGGGAGGACTTAGCTTCTCATTGAGTTTAGTGGCCAATGATTTAAATCGGTATGGTTGGAGGTTTAGAAACACTTGATCCCCTGGCTAAAAAGTGACATCCTGTTGGTGTACATTGACATTTGTCTTCATGTAGCCCTGGGCGATAGTTAAATTATGTTTCAGCTCATCCAAAATGGAATTACGTTCTGCCCTTTGCTAGTTCACCTCTTCGACCAATGATGGGCAGTCTGTGAAGTGGAGAAGAGTGGGGGGATCCCTTCCATATAGTGCTTTGAATGGTGTCATTTTGGTTTAACTGTGGTATGTGGTGTTGTACCAAAATTCTACTCAGACCAACCACCATGGCCACTGCTTGGGTTGAGTGCTGCAAAAACATCATAGATAAGCTTCCAAACATAGATTGCTGACCTCCGTTTCGGTCAGAGGGTGATATGCGGAGCTAAACTTCAGTTTGGTGTCTACGACCTTAAAAAGTTCTTACCAAAATCGATTGATAAACACCTTGCCTCAGTCAAATACAATCGACTTTAGGAAGCCATGAAGTTTCACAGTTTCTAAAACAAAGAGAGCAACCACATTCTTTGCATTATAGGGGTGACACAGGGGAAGGAAGTGACTATATTTAGTGAATACGTCCACTACCACCATGATCGTGTCCTATTCTTTGGGTTGGGGTAACCCATACTAACATCCTTAAACACCTGGGTGGGAATGGGTAAAGGTTGGAGTAGCCCTGCTAGATTTAGGGATGATTGTTTATTCAATTGACAAATAGAGCATTTTTGCACATACTCTTGTACATCCCTCTTAATCCCTTCCCAAAACACTATGTTTATCAACCTCTTATAGGTTTTGAAAAAACCGAAGTGTCCACCTCCTGGATTGTAGTGGAATTTATCTAACAACTTAGGAATAAACTNCAAATTGAAGATCCAAGGCTCCTATCTTGTTCTCCTTGAAAAATTATGCAAAACTCCTTGAAAACCTAGAGAAAGAAAGCTTGTTTCATGGAAGATTTGAGAGAAAATGGAAGAAATGTTGAAGAAAGGCTCTCTCCTTTGGCTTGAACGAATTTCATCTCATTTATAGGAAAATATTTCATTTATTTTCCAAAATTATGCAATTGGCCCAATTATTTTAATTGTATAACTCATAAGTCCTTAATTCTTCATATAAGGGCATTTTGGTCATTTCACACTAGACATAATTATTACTTAATTAATGCCATTAAATGCAATGAAGCCTACTCATCCTTGACTTTTTCAATGCTTATCCATAGACAAAATAACCATTTTGCCCCTAAGCCTCTTTATGGATAATTGATTCATATCGTTCCAAATGAATTGACTATTTTGCCCTTAGTTAGATTTTATGCTTTTTAACATAAAATAAACATTTAAAGGACTATTTTGAGTTAGGAACATACCTTTGACGTCTTGGGTATTACAACCTATTACATCACGGGATTGTACATCAAAGCTCTTTTGTTAATGCCCCTCAACAAAATGGGATAGCTGAAAGAAAGAATATGCACTTATTAGAGGTAGCCAGAGTCTTAATGTTTACCATACCTAAGTATTTTTGGAGTCATACGATTTTAACAGTTGCATATTTGATAAATGGATTATCTACTAGAATTCTGGATTTTCATACACCTCTTGAGAATTTGCTAAAGATCTTTCCTAGTTGTAGGATCTTGAATACTTTACCCTTAAAGGTGTTTGGATGTACTGCTTTTGTACATGTTATGTCTCCTAATAGAGGAAAGCTAGACTCTAGGGCCATTAAATGTATCTTCCTTGGATATTCTCCCACACAAAAAAACTATTAGTGGTATTGTCCTGTAAAGAGAAAATTATATGTCTCTAATGATGTTACATTTTTTGAGTCACATCCATTCTTTCCTAGTTCACTTTCGAGGAGATTTTGAGAGATTGTGAAGGTGATTTGTGGAAGTTGGGTTACCCTTAAACCACACTTGAGTCAGTCTCAGTAGTCTCCCAATCCTGGTAAAAGTTCAAAGTTACCTAGTTTCCTATAGATCAGCCTAGTCCTATAAGAATGAGTTAGTCTCCTAGTCAGCCTAGTTCAGGTTAGGTTCCTATAGGTCAGCCTAGTCCTATAAGGATGAGTTAATCTTATAGTCAGCCTACCAATTTAGGTCATACTCTAACTATATAGCCCACTCTTGATAAACCAAACTCTCAGGAAAGATTGGAACTAGGGGAAGGTCTGGAGAGATTAAATCAGTTGGGTATCCAATGTTATTCTTGAAGAACTGACTATCAAAATGGAAGAAACCCTAATGATCTGCATAAGCAATCATCCCAACTGGAAGAAACCAGTGATTCACAGTCACAAGGTAAGGAAGAACTATCTTCTAATGAGTCTAAATCAGGGCATGATGATTTACATTTACCTATTGCACTAAGGAAGGGTGTTAGATCCATTACATTGCATCCTATTGCAAAGTATGTGGCCTACGATAAGTTGGAAGTTGATTTTTTTGGCATTCACCACTAATCTCTCAGCTGTGAAAGTTCCAGCACTGGTACATGAGGCATTAGGGGATGAAAAGTGGATGAAGACTGTGATAGAGGAGATAGAGGCTCTTGAGAAAAAACAAGACTTGGAAGCTAGTGAGTTTACTTAAAGGGAAACAAATGTGAGCTGCAAATGGGTGTTTACTATTAAGTATAAAGCAGATGGAACTGTTGAAAGGTATAAGGCAAGGCTGGCGACAAGGGGATTTACGCAAACCTATGGGTAGACTATGAGGTGACCTTTGCTTCGGTGGCTAAGTTGAACACTATCAGGGTGCTCGTCTCTTGCAACAAATCTAGACTGGCCTCTACAACAACTAGATGTGAAAAAACACGTTTTTAAATGGTGAACTTGCAAAAGAGGTATACATGGAAATGCCACTAGGGTTTGAAGGGAGTGGAAAGGATGGAAAAGTGTGCAAATTGAAGAAATCATTATATGGTCTACAATAGTGTCCACGGGCCTGGCTTGAAAAATTCACAAAGGTTGTTAAGAGGTATGGTTTTACTCAGGGGCAGGCTGATCATACATTATTCCTTAAAACCTCTATAGGTAAGATTACTATTCTAATTGTTTATGTAGATGATATTATTATTACTAGAGATAGTTTTGAGGAAATGGAGGCTGTCAAGAAGGTTCTTGCTCAGGATTTTGAATTGAAAGACTTGGGGTAGTTGAGGTATTTTCTTGGTATGGAGATTGCTAGGAGTAAAAAGGGAATTTCAGTTTCACAAAGAAAATATGTGATGGATTTGCTGAAAGAGATAGGTATGCTAGGTTGCAAGCCAGTTGAGACTCCCATTGAACCAAATCTGAAATTTGAGAAAATGAGTTGTGATGTTCTTGTTGATAAAGGTAGGTATCAAAGGCTGGTTGGGAAGTTGATATACCTATCTCACACTAGACTTGACATAGCCTTTTCGATGAGCATAGTGAGTCAGTATATGCATAACCCACAAGAGAAGCATTTTGAGGCTGTGAGTAGGATTCTAAGGTACCTTAAAATGACCCTTGGGAAGGGGCTATTTTTTGGTTAAAAAAAAAAATGAAAGGAAAGTAAAAGCATTCACGGATGCAAACTGGGCTGGTTCTGTGGATAATAGAAGATTGACCTTAGGTTATTGCACCTTTGTTTGGGGCAATTTAGTAAGCTGGAGAAGTAAGAAGTAGAACGTTGTTGCTAAAAGTAGTGCTAAGGCTGAGTTTCATGCTATGACTCATGGGATTTGTGAACTAATATGGCTAAGAAGAATCTCGGGAGAGCTTGAAATCAAAAGTGCGAAGCCTATGAGGTTGTACTATGACAACAAGGTTGCGATTGGGATAGCACACAATCCAGTGCATCATGATAGAACTACGCATGTTGAAATAGATAGACATTTCATCAAAGAGAAGGTAGAAGATAAGCTGTTGTGTGTTACCTTCTTGCCTACAAGTCAGCAGAAAACATATATTCTTACAAAAGGATTGCCTAGACAGTTGTTTGTTAATCTAGTTTCTGAGCTGGGAATGATAAATATCTATTCACCGGCTTGAGGGGGAGTGTAGGATTTCTAGATTAGAATATGATCAATTTAAGAGTTATCTAAGTCTTATCTAGTTTAAGAGATTGAAATAAAAAGATTATCAGGATTTGTTTTCTATTGATTTCATGTTTAAATCTCTTTATATGAGATTTGGGCCAGTTTGGTTTGTAATTCAAAAATAATTTTGAAAAACTTAGTTACAATTAAAAATTTTAAATTTTTATCTCTAAATTTTAAGTATTTTAAATTATATTTTGTATTTTAAATCTCTTTATGAGATTTGGGCTAGTTGGTTTGTGATTCAAAAATAATTTTAAAAAACTAAGTTACAATTGAAAATTTTAAAAGCTTTATCCCGATATTTTAAATATTTGAAAATATATCTGGTATTAAAAATTGTTTTTGAAGTTAAAAACTATATAAAGACTGAGAAATGATATTTTTCTTGTTTTCTAATTTTACACTAATTTTTAGGATTATATGCAAAAACATTGTTTTTTAAAACATTTAACTTATTTTAATAAAAACTATTTTCATAAAATTCCTCATATTCCTTGTTTTCGAAAATAAAACACTATTTAAAATTTATAACAAATAAGCTCTTATTTAGATTATAAACTTTTATATGTATTTATGTTATATTCATGGTTGTGATTGTGGCTATTCAGCTCACAAGATTGTGTTAAATTTTAAGTATGGTTTTGGAACGCTGAACTGTCAATAGAAGCTTTTAAG